AAAAACTGAAATCGCATCATATGACCCCTTTAAACTTTCACTGCTGTAAAGATCCCTGCAAGCTGTATTACACACATTCTCACCCTTACTCGCTCTTACAAACACACACACACACACACACACACACACACAGGCAGCCTGTTCTGAATATCACTATTGACACTAAAACAATTTTTTCTTCCTAGACTAAGGAGTTTCATTGTTCAGAATACAGAAAAGTATGACGCGTGGGAAAACTGCACAAAGACAGCTACATGAATAAGAAGCATTGTTGTCAAAGAACACACTGTTTATGCTTCTACAACTGCATCTTATGTCCATGAGACACTGCTGGTTTGAAATAGCATATGGCATTACAGTCTGTATTCATTACACACATCCTCTGCAGTTGTTGGACAGAGTCAGAGAGACTAACTTTAACATCTGAAGACAAATAAAGGACAATACCAGGAAAATACCATGAGCAAGATCTTCATCAATTTTGCTTACGTGTTATTATTATTTAAACTGGGGGTCAAACATTTGGAATAATTAAGATAAGTCTTCAGTGTCACATGATCCTTCAGAAATTATTGTAGATTTTATGTAGCTTTTCATATCTTACTATTATCAATTTTGAAAAAGAAAGAAAAGAAAAACATTCATTTAAAATAGAAATCGTTGTAACATTATAAATGTCTTTACTGTCACTTTTGATCAATTTAATGCAAACCTTTCAATGGTAGTGTATCACGGTTTCCACAAAAATATTAAGCAGCACAACTGTTTTCAACATTGATAATAATAAGAAATGCTTCTTGAGAAGCAAATCAGCATATTAGAATGATTTCTGAAGGATCATGTGACACTGAAGACTGGAGCAATGATGCTGAAAATTCAGCTTGGCATAAGAAATAAACTACATTTTAAAATGTATTCAAATAGAAAAGTTATTCTACACTGTAAAAATATTTCACAATATTAGTTTTTATTGTACCAGTGCAGGTATTGTTTTTGTTATTATGAACTTCAACTTTTATTCATGAACATCATGATTTTAAGTAGACATGTATGAACGCATATCTTTATTATTAAGATAAAGGTATATATATGCACACTTAATTCATGCACAAAATAATAAATAACAAATTTTTTGACCATTTTGTCCATTCACAAATTCATTTTTAAACATACAAATATTATGATGCTGTTTTAGTTACTCTGAAGTCCTATAAAGTGCATGTATAACATTTCTACATGAATTACCAAAAAATATAAAACTTCACACAAATGTCTTCTTTCAAAACAGCTTTTATTAAAGAAAATGTTTTGAAACAGACTGGTCTTGAGAGGTACATTCAGATCATCTGGAGCCTGAGGGACATGATGGAGGAAGCAGGGCTGACCGTGCTAGCGCCTGATTCAATTCACAGCAACACACCACAGCCCTGCCTCACGCTCCACAATCAGGCCGCCTTTCTCAGCCTTTTTTTGTTTTGTTTTTTGGACGTTTTCTTTTTCTTACAAAAATTGGCTCAAAAAGTTTCATTAAAAATACAATCAAATATTTATATATATTCAGGCAACATGAGAATCCAAGAATTATTATAAGCTTTGAAAATAGCATCTCTGAAGTAATTTAAAGGTCTGTTTGGAAATTTCAAATATTGCAAGCAAGTTCTGTTTTCCCCTCCCAAACTGAGCTGAACAAACACATGGATGTGTCTTCATCTTGGTGTGAGTGTGTATGTGCTCACCAGGGTTCAGTCCAGTGGTGGCATTAGTAGTCACACATGCATCGAGAAAAACAAAATCGTGCTCACATTGGGCTAATGTTCACAATGAAACATCATACTAACTGGCCTCACCCGTCTAGCTGAAAGCAAATGTAAATAAAGCTCTGATATATTTTCTCTGGGAAGCTAATTCAAGATGTAATCAGAAATTAAAAGAAGGCCTGGCGGTTACGCGGGGCTGTGATACAGCTGGATTAAGCCCGGCCCAAGACTGGGAGCTGAGCTTAAGATGCTTAGCATCATGACACAGTCAGAGGTCTAGCACACACCACTTTCCCTTGGATAATACACACACACACACACACACACACTTGAAAATAGTTGAAGCAGGAATGTGGCATCTTTCCTATGGCATTGTTTTAGGAGAAACATAATCAAGAAATTTGCCCGATTACAGAACATGCCAGGCAGTGGCCCATTTTGGGCTACAAGCAGAAAGAAGAATGGAATAGATCATTCGTATTAAAGGGACACAGAGATTTCAGCTGCATTCACACCATATATTAAGGAAGGATCTATAGGACTGATCTCTGACCAGAGAAATAGACCAGAGCTGCTGGTTTACAGGGTCTGTATATAGAAACCCAATCTGTTCAACAGCGGATTGCACAGGCAAAAATAAAAAATAAAATAAAATAATACTAAATAAATAAAATAAAAAAATCAGTTGGCACAAGCTGATAATGATTAACAAGTTAAGAAGAGAAAGAAATACCTCTGACAAAAATACAACATTTGTAAGAATAATTACAAGGAACAATAAATATGTCAAATAGAATCACATAGTCAAGAACAAAATAATTCAATTATAATCTAAAAAGTGACTGAAATTATGGCACGTAGAAATGGAATGTATTTAGAAGTGAAAAAAAGTAGAATGAAGATTGCCCTCCAAACCACTAGAGGGCACACATGAGTTCAATATGCATCGGACCCAAAGCTCTTATTTCACCAATCTAAGCTCCACCGCTTATAAGTGATTTAATCAGTAACCTCAAAAGTGAAATGTATGCATGTGGACGTGAAAGTGTGTTTTTGAGCACTGGCCTGGTATATAAAGCTGACACATTCAATATATGTGTCATTAATGGCTCAACATTGAATAGATGCTTAACTCGGACTCACTCTGAAATATGCAATTAACTCTGCATCGAGAACCAATCCTAATGTGTGCCGTAACCATGGATAATCTATCTTCAAGGAAAAACTGAAGACAGCCGGTCGTCCGTTTTAATGGAATCTCTCTTCTTTTTTTTTTGGCATCAAGCAACATTTTCCACACTTTTCACTAGTACAATTTGTAACTCAACTGTAAACTGATCCCCGTTTCAACAAAGAGTAACATTGAAAGACTGTGACAGTACATTATAAGAAATATCTGAAGAAAATCTGTAATTGATTTTCGATTTCTCACACACACGGACACATATGGAGTTGTTGGGCTCCGTGGGATATCCCAGAACTCCATGTGGTCGAACAAACAGCAAATTGTTGAAAGGCAGCTTTTATACCCATAGGGTCAGGGCCCGCAGTGCAGCATCTTAGAGAGAGCTCACATTTAGGAATCTTGAACAGCTACATATCACAAAACTCTAATCTACGATTTGGGATTGTGATCACAGCTGGTAACCGATCACAAAAGGAGCCAACTGTCTGCCTACAAAGTAAAGAAAATCAGAGAGTATGAAAAGTGGCATTTATGGGACTTTTTTTGGGGCGATCAGGAAAGACAACCAATAAGGAGGAACCAGGTGGAGCAGGGATGTTGGCACATTCTGTAGCAGTCGAGCGCTACTGACGATTTTGCCAGTGACACATTCATCCCGGTAGGGTTGAATATGGGAGTTTGGCAGTAGGACAGGGCAGAAAACAGTTTTTGTGGAATCGTGCTGAGATGGAAGGCTTTAAGATAAGCTGTAACAGTAAAGCAGTTTAAGTTCCATTGTCATGATTCATTTAAACAGGCAAGAGGAAGCGCAGCGACCCCGGCAGATGTGAGGGGCCCATCAGTAGTCTTAACCAAAGGCTGTCTGTGCCCATCACAGTGGCGCTCCTTCAGATGCTTGTAGGAGAGAGGTGTGACCGCAGCCATCTGTGGTGCACAAAAAAACATCACCACACAAAACACTTTAGCACACATGTAAAAATGTATTTAACAGTGGAATAGGAAAGATATGATTAGCAACAGTGTTTTAAGTGCATCTCTTAATTGATTGATTCATCAAAAATAACCAAACCAAACACATAAACCTAGATCATTCTGTACACAACACCAACCCTAAACCAAATCAAACTCATATGCACCAAAGAACCATCCTAATCAGAGGAGGATCTGGTTGCCAGGAATGATTCGCACATATTATTAGACCAAATAAACGCTGATGTGAATCTTGGTTTAAGGAATGTTCTGGAATTAAAACAAGTATTCATTGTCACAGTTGCTGTTGATTACTGGACATGAACTGGCAAAATGGGCTTTTAACAAAACTTGGATGTCTATGCAGCAGAAAGGCAAAACATTTTCTGAAAACGGTGCTACATGACTATAGAAAACAGAAAAAAAGGGCTGTGATGTTCCATTTTGCCAAAAACTTCAACACCCATAATTGTCACCACTCGTCTATTGATCCAAATGTCCATGGGCGGGAAAACAAAAATGCAAAAGTTCAATCTGTAATTTTAATGAAAGCCCTGGACCTGTCAAAAACGTGTCACTTTGAATCATTTGGCAGACGTTTGCTGACAAATAAACAGGAATATCTGGTAACAAGGAAAAAAAGATTGCACATTGTTCATTAACATATACTACTGACATTGTAACAATACAAAGCTAGTTGAAAATCTGTGAACTTATCCTTTAATTTGGACTAGTCTTTATTTAAAGGGGTCATATGATGCTGCTAAAAAGAACATTATTTTGTGTATTTGGTGTAATGAAATGTGTTTATGCGGTTTAAAGTGAAAAAAACACATTATTTTCCACATACTGTACATTATTGTTTCTCCTCTATGCCCCGCCTTCTGAAACGCGTCGATTTTTACAAAACTAATCGGTCTGAAAAGCGAGGTGTGCTCTGATTAGCCAGCTATCCAGTGCGTTGTGATTGGCCAAATACCTCAAGCGTGAGACGGAAATGTTACGCCCCTCACCATACTGTGTTGATGCCATGTCCCGGCCGGAGCAACGACACAAAAACATGAAAACCCATTACAAACGAGGCATTTGTTGCATCCAGTGGGGACATAAATGACCCCTTTAAAAGAGAATTTTTTTTTTTTTTTTTAAATGTCAAATGGCAACACTTTATAATAATTTTTATTAATAAATCATTAACAAACATATAATGCTTAACAGATCACATAGCTAGAAATATGAGATAATGTGCCTGTTAATGTTTACTAATGAACTTATTAAACATTACCTGAAGATTAACAGATTATTATTTAAAGGGGTCATATGATGCGATTTCAAGTTTTCCTTTCTCTTTGGAGTGTTACAAGCTGATTGTGCATAGATAAGATCCCTGAAGTTGCAAAGACTAAAGTCTCAAACCCAAAGAGATATTCTTTATAAAAGTTAAGAGTCAACCACACTGGATGCAACAAATGCCTCGTTTATAATGGGTTTTAATGTTTTTGTCTCTTCGCTCCGGCCGGGACACGGCATCACAGTATGGTAGGGGCGTAACATTTCCGTCACACGCTTGAGGTATTCGGCCAATCATAACGCACTGGATAGCTGGCCAATCAGAGCACACCTCGCTTTTCAGACCGATGAGCTTTGTAAAAATCGACCGTTTCAGAAAGGCGGGGCATAGAGGAGAAACAATAATGTCATTAAACTTTCAATTCATATGATCATGCACTTTTTAAGTCTACAAATGATTTTAACAAATTATACAATGATTAAAAGCTTATAAATGTCATTAAACTTCAGTTCATTTTACCTAATGCTATTTTTTTACATGTTTATAAACGTTTACTAATCATTTAGTACCTTTATGGGAATTTGACTTTTAGCTACTGTAACAACATTTGTGTTAAAGGTGGTTAGTTAAGATTAGCTAAAAACACACATTATAATTTGGGTGCAAAACGTTTTTATTGACTCGACACTTACATTATGTTTCTACTGTATATCATTAAACAGGATATTCCTCAAATCAAACAGGAGAAAACAAATCCGTTTTTCCAAGAAAATACTTGTTCATTTAAACAATGTAATATAAACGATTGAACCGTGTTCCCTTACAGTAATCAAATTGACCCCTTAACCAACCCGTAAACCTACCCATACCACCAAACCTGGCCCTAACCTTACCCGTATCACACCTCAACAGCAGCAAAAGTGTTGTGCATTAACAAAAGCTTTTAATAATTGTATAACAGCTGTTATAATCATTTGCAGAAGTACATGATTATATGCACTGAAAGTTTAATGACGTTTGTAAGCGTATTAATTTACATTAAAAATGATCTGTTAAACTTTAGGTAATGTTTGTTAATTACTTATTAATAAAAGTTATTGTAAAGTGTCACCAATTCAATTTATAATTATAAAAATGTATAAACACAAACAAACTATTTAATATAAACAATAATAATAATAAAAATAAAAACGTTTACAAAAGCATTAGCAACTACCAATGGAGGTCTATAATTTTAATCTTCCATACAAAATTGATTATTTGTGTTTTAATGTAGGTCAATTTGTCCAATTAAATGTCTGATGTACTTCTGGTTATGCATTACTGATGTAATTCCTATGGGTGAATCTGTCGGTAAATGCAGATGTTGACGGATTAACATGTGTTGAACCCAGAACATTCCTTTAAATCATATTGAGCAGTTTACCTGTATGTGTCAGTCGAGGAATCCTCTGACAGCTGAGAAGAACAGAAGAGCAAGTTTAATGCTGGTGAGTACCTCCTATCTACAGCCGCACCAATAACGTATTACAACCATCACAAATTGACCCCAAAAGCTTTAGGAACAGCTACACATGCAAAACTAGCATAGCAGCATGCAGAATGCAAAGCATTAATGCAGGGGAACAATCACTGGAGCCGAAATATTGTCATACAAAGGTTAGACAGCCGTTAGAGGAGCTGAACGACTTTCACTGTCACAAAAAATAAAGATAAATAAATAAATAAAAATATTCCAAATTACAAGCAGAACAACTACCACACCAAACAAAATACCCACCACAACAAATGACACAGTGAGACCAACGTGACGCGGTTTCAACCAACTCACAAACTCATGTTGTCATTCACACACAAATTAAACTATGGATGAGATTAACCAGAACAACATGACAGAGGACTGGTTTAGTCAGTTAATAAGGACCCAATCACAGGTTAGTTGAGGAGCACATGCATGGCATAATGAGGGGTGGAGCTTCGCTTGGCAGGCTGAAAGGATCATTTAATATTCACCAATTCATTATTTTGTTTTTCCATTCCTTACAGTCAACAGTACAGCATTGCGGTTTATTATTTTAGTACTTAATTTTCTATATTTCTGCGTAAATATGACCCAAAACATTATCAGATTTTTGCACAAGTCCTGAAAGTAGACAAAGAGAACCCAGTAAAAAAATTAAGCAAAAATATATACTTTGTCATTTATTTATTGGGGAAAATGCTCCTGTGAGTGGCAAAAGTATGTGAATCTTTGCTTTCAGTATCTGATGTGACTCCTTTTTGCAGCAATAACTGCAGCTAAACGTTTATTGTAACTGCTGATCAGTCCTGCACAACATCTTGTAGGAATTTTAGCCCATTCCTCAATACAGAACCACTTCAACTCTGTGATGTTGGTGGGTTTCATTCTATGAACTGCTTGCTTCAGGTCCAGGATTAAGGTCCAGACTTTGACTCAGTCATTCCAAAACATTAACTTTGTTCTTCTTTAACCATTCTTTGGTAAAACGATTTGTGTGCTTGGGGTCGTTGTCTTGCTGCATGACCCACTTTCTCTTGAGATTCAGTGATGGCAAGCCATCCTGGACCAGATGCAGCAAAACAGGCCCAAACCATGATACTACCACCACCATGTTTCACAGATGGGATAAGGTTCTTATGCTGGAATGCAGTGCGTTCTTTTCTCCAAACATAACGCTTCTCATTTAAACCAAAAAGTTCTATTTTGGTCTCATCCATCTACAAAACATTTCTCCAATAGCACTCTGGCTTGTCCATATGATCTTAAGCAAACTGCAGACGGGCAGCAATATTCTCTTTGGAGAGGATTGGCTTTCTCCTTGCAACTCTGCCATGCACACCATGGTTGCTCAGTGTTCTCCTGATGGTGGACTCATGAACATTAACATTAGCCAATGTGAGAAAGGCCTTTAGTTGCTTAGAAGTTACCCTGGGTTCCTTTGCAACCTTGCGGACTACTACACGTCTTGAGTGTTCTCTGTTGGTTGATCTCTGTTGGTCAACCACTCCTGGGGAGGGTAACAGTGGTCTTGAATTTCCTCCATTTGTACACAATGTGTCCGACTGTGGATTTGTGGAGCCCAAACACTTTAGAGATGGCTTTGTAACATTTTCTAGCCTGACGAGCAACAGCAACTCTTTTTCTGAGGTCCTCAGAGATCTCCTTTGGAAGTACCATGACACACTTCCACAAACATTATCAAATTTTGATAGATCCCTTCTCTCTAAATAAAACAGGGCAGGCACTGACACCTGATAATCATCCCACTATTGAAAACACCTCTGAACAGATGGACTCTAATTTCACATTAAAATTAACAGCTAATCCTAGAGATTCACATATGTTTGCCACTCATAGATAGGTAATTTTGGATTATTTTCCTGAATAAATATAAATGACAAAATACTTTTGTCTCATTTGTTTAATTGGGTTCTCTGTCAACTTTCAGGACTTGTGCAGAAATCTGATTGTTTTGGGTCATATTTATGCAAAAATATAGAAAATTCTAAAGGGTTCACAAACTTTCAAGCAGCACTGTGTGTATATATATTATATATATATATATATATATATATATAAATTTTTGAGTATAGGCCCTTTCTGATATAGTGCAACAGCAGGATTCTCAAAGTAAAAATCCCATTAAAAATCTCCATAGAGAAAACATAACATTAAACTTTTCAAGACAGATGTGTCATTGAAAAATAGGGCCGTTTTTCTTTCAGGCTTGTGGAAGCTAGCTAAGTAGCGCGAGCTAGCTACCTAACTATTTAACACTAGTTAAAATCCTAGTAGGGGTTTTGCAGCATAAAAAAAACAGTAGTAATGTTTTCTGATATAAAAACATACAAAAATGGCAAAGACTAAATACACGGTCTATTTGTATGTCTTTGCTTAAAATCAAATGTTGTAGCTGTAATGTTGTGAAAGCACAGAATTTTAAACCTCTATGGAGAAAATCAATAGTAAAATATTTCTGCAACACCAACCACTGAAAAAGTGGGAGGCTGACTTTTTCATAAATACGTCAAAGACTAAATGTCTTTTCAGCCAACCGATGTGAGTTCATCCTGAGGTAGGGAGAATTTCCACAGCAGAATTCAGAGGAAATTAAAATCATCCCACAGAGGGGGCCGACTGAACCCTAGAGGAGGAACTGCACCGACTAGGAGGCAAATCCCCTGTGGATGACTAGGGTCAGGCACTCAATTGGGGCTCTGACTGGAAAGTCTGGGGTCTTGTACCTGTTCACATGACAGAATTTGACTCGTCTGAAAAGGTTCTCAAGAGCAGGGGTCTGGCTGAAGACTGAGAGGATTGGTTGCCCCCAACATTTGACTGACTCTGCTTTTTCTGAAAGGGTGGGAGTGGGGGTGAAAGACACTTAGGACAGGATGGATCACACACACACACACACACAAAACTGCAATACAGTACATCCTCCTTCAAAAAGAACACAAAACACTGTGAAGGACAATTACAATTATGAGATTTCATATTTGAGGGCACATGTTTATGTATGTTTTTAATTTCCATATAGATTATCCTTCATGGTAGAAATGATAATGGCCATTTTTTCAAACATGATCCTGCTCAGTTGTACTAGATTCTGAATATGACCACACAAAAAAGTCAGCTAACACTCAAACAATATAAACCCACGAAGACCAGGGCCCTTATTTATCAACAGTGCGTAGAAAAGGTTCTATATTTTGTCCTACGAATTAAATTTAGAATGTGCCTAAGTACAAGAAAATCCGTATTTATCATACGTGCGCACGCAGTTCTTACGCACATGAGTAAGCAATCATTGTTGATAAATCCCACATGTGCGTAAGTAACATGCTCGTTCACGGTCATTTGCATTCGGAAACGTCTCCAATGAACCATATATGGTGACAACACCTCCCTTTATAAATCACATGAATGTATGAGCCCTCACCGAACTCATGGCAAAGAAAGCGGTACTGACAGAGAAGCCATTCTGTGCTCTCACTCTCAGCGCGGTCTTTGAAAACTCATTGTTTGCCAAGTCTTCCAATAACGCAAGATAAGCCATTGCACTGAGACAAACATTTGTCACAGCTGTGTTTTACAGAGTTTGACACCAATTACGCAAATTGTCTGTTTAAAACCAGACAAATTATAAATTGAGTGTTTTATAATTAAAGGAAACACAGGACATATGTGGATTGCTTAATGCATACTGTGACACTCTTAAATGCTTTTTATGTGTAGTGTCGCTATTCTACCACTAGATTCTCTGCGTAAGCATGCTCAGAGGTGTGCTTATATTTACACACATTTCTACGTACAAGTACAAGTTGGTAGATCCCACACTTTGCGTGAAACTGTTCTTACGCACTCATTACGCACACATCTGTGCGTATGCACTGTTGATAAATGAGGCCCCAGTACACTTACGAGTTTGACACTCAAAGCTATTCCCTAGTTCTGTATTTGGGGCTTAATTTAAAATTATAAAGAAAAAAAAAAATAATAATAATGATTAATCACATTATGAACTATTTGTTTAATCAGGAAAATATGATAATTACTATATTGTCTTTTAAATTCCATAATTTATTTATCAAAGCTAAAAATTGTCCAAATTAAAAATGTCCCTTTCTTTGTTTTTTGCAATTGCCAGTTCTAACAAGACTAACACTCTCTCTCACATACACACAAAATCTCATTCGGAATCGACCAGCACTAATGCACCTAGAAAGTCACAGTGGTTTGGGTGAGGAGCGGTGTAGGCTGGGCCGAGCATGCATGCAGGAAATCCCGTATGTTTGTGTGCCACGTTCTCCTGGCTGGGCATGCAGAGACAGCAGGCACCGGGAACAGGCAGCTGAAGGAATCCCCATCATACCCTGCAGCCCTTACAGACACACATTGAGGACCAACCCCCACCACCACAGCTCAACTCTTGGGGACAATTCTTGCGCAACACCTCAAGACAAACACCAAATAAAAAAAAAAAGCCACTGTGGTACACATTTTGACTGACAATCCAAACCCAGCACCCGTGACAAACACATTTGTATCAGGGCACAACGAGGGAGCAGAGACAAACAGGTGGAGAGACAGCAGGCAGGAAACTGAAGATACAGACAGGCAACCCAAAGGAGGAGGGACAGTGAGACAAAAAGCAGAAAAGGAGCAGGCAGAGAGACCTCAGTCACTCCAGGAAAAGCTGTGAGTGCTAGCCGTCTGCGACAGCATGAAGATAGTGGATGTCCCAGAGGAAGGAAGCCGTCGTTTCATCTACAGCACAGCACACAGGCGAGCAAGAGACCAAAGGTAAATTAAAGAAAGTTCAAGGGTAAGAAAAAGTGGGAATAAAGTTAATGGAGTAGAGATAGAGAAACAAGAGTAAATATTAAGTAGAACCCTCAGTATGTTGTTTGATTTAGCAGAAAGTTGACCAGCATGAATGATTGACTAGCCCAGTCAATTCTTTGAGTTATAAACAAACCAACTTTTCTAGTGGAAATTACTTGGCACACAAATCACATTAGATATTTATGGTCTACAGAATAAATATTAAACTATCAGGAATTAAAATAAAAAAACACTACAATACACTAATGTTGAAAAGTTTGGGGCTGGTAAGATTTATGTTTTTGAAAAAATAAATTATGCATTTCATTGATCAAAAATACACTTTAAAAACAGCAATACTGTGAAACGTTAAAAAAAAATTCTATTTTTATATATTTTAAAATGTAATTTATTCCTGTGATGCAACGCTGAATTTTCAGCATCATTACTCCAGTCTTCAGTGTCACATGATCCTTCAGAAATCATTCTAATATGCTGATTTGCTGCTCAAGAAACACTTATTATTATTATAAATATTGAAAAAGTTGTGTTGCTTAATATTTTTAAGAAAACCATCATTATTTTATTTTTTTCAAAATTCTTGGATGAAGATAAAGTCCTAAGAACAGCAGTTATTTAAAATATAAATGTTATAACATTTTACATGTATTTACAGTTACATTTGATCCATTTAATATTTTGATGAATAAAAGTATTAATTCCTTTGGAGAAAAAAAAACAAAAACGTATTGACCCCAAACTTTGAACAGTAGTGTAGGACTGACCGTAAATTCTGAATTAATCAGATGCACTTGTATCTGTAGTAAAATGAAAATTAACACACACCTATGACCACGTTCTAAATTAAAGCATATAGTTGTTAAATTTTCACTGATTTTCAACGACAGCTGAAAACAGGACTAAGTTCAGCAGAGCTTGAGTTTATGCAAATAAGGAGTGACAGAGCTACACTCACTTTCAGCCTTTTTTCAAGCTTGTTGTTAAGTCATTATTAAAAATTTTTTTTTTGTTCAGTCTTTTTAGGTACCTGTAATACAAATTGTGATATAACCTCAACACACAAGGTACCATTTTACATGTTACAAGTTACATTGGTCAATAAAGGCCATGTTTCCCATCTAATGGAGTTCATTAGGCTATAAATTATACATTTAATTTGAACGTTTACAACTGAAGGAATATTATAATTACTAGATCAAGTAATTAAGACATGACCATACATTCCATTTTCTCCCCATTGGTGGTTTTAATTGGCATGCGGGCATTCTTGGAAGGGCTGCATCACCTACCTGTGAGGAGGCAGGGGGCAGATTAACGCTGTATGCTCATTTCTGGCCTGAAAGGCTGCTTAACTAGTGTCACTAACAGAGACTGCCTACAGCGTTTGCTCACTTCCTCTGAATAATTCAAATGAATGGAAGGTCTAATCATTGTTTATTGATTCTAACTGTGTTACATGTTAACTGGTTGGGTAGCCACTCACAGCAGCAGAGGGTGATGGAAGTATTTGTGCTTGACTAATGGAATAAAGGGCATTTCAATCAGAGCGATACATAGGACAAAAAGCTTCAGAGGTCAAGGAGAGGACATCGAAGAAGAGTAATCGTAACAATTAGACTGATTGACTTCCTGTCTGTTTGACCAATCACAACAATCCAAACCATTCAGTGCCTTAAAACAAGGCAAGATTTCTGTTAGGAAAAAAGTCAATGGAGTAATTCATGACAGTCAGGGGGAAGTAAAGAAAATAGATGCTGGAGAAGTGACAGAGTATAAGAAAAAAAAAATGTTAAGGTCTTAAAAGGTAAAAAAAAAAAAAAGAGCAAATATGGATATACCAAAGGCAGGGAGTTAATGCTGGGTTCAAAGAAAATGTGACTCTGTGTCCCAACCATGTGTGACGTGATAAAGCAACAAGTGATAAAAGCTTTCGCTCTTTCACGTAAATCACAGTTTTAGTGCAAACCAGCCACTAAGAGACATTTTCCAGACATTTCCTGCTTCACATAACTGTACAACTTCAAATATCTTGTAATTGGCTGTGACTGCGTCACGTCACACCTGGTTAGGACATGGTGTAAGATGAAAGAAGAACAGAAGAGTAGGTAAATCAGGGAGAATATCAGAAAATAGGATGGATATGGTAGAAAGGAAGAATTCAAAGAGAGCAGAGGAAAAGGGAGGGAGAAGTATACCTGTCGTGAATGGGGGCCTCTGGGCTTGCGAAGGACCACCAAAAGGATCTCTGGCAGCAGACTGAGGAGGATGAGGATGATGATAACCAGCCAGGCAGACACTGAACTCAGCATGGTGGCAAACACAAAGAACAAACGCTGTTGCTTCAGAAACAGGACTGTACAAGTTAAATAAGCAGAAGAGCTGCAGTGCAGACTGGTACCTGTAGAGGGCGGCGTTGTCCAGCAGAATCTCCATGGATATGTGCTGTTCCAGCAGGCTGTAGGCCAGAATGGGCATGGAGGTGAAGCAGATGTTGTACATCGTCAGATAGGCTGCGTCGTACAGGGGCTGGGAAGGGGAACGAGGGGAAGGACGGGGCACCGGGGAGGTTAATACCATGTTAAGGAGATCACACAAATGCACACAACATAGAGAGGGAAACTCTTGACTGTGTGGCCACATGCAATGGACACTTGCTTGATATATATACACAAAACACATGCTGGAAAATGTGAAGTCGAGACCCAATTACAGGGAATCACAGAGACTTTGTGAGACTCACAGTGATTTTTAATCCTTTTTTTATATATATATTTTTTTTCAGATAGCAAAAGCAGAAGTGACAGGACTCTACTAGAGAAGAAAGAAAGAGACTGGACACAACGCAAGCCAGATTTGAACCCCTATCTTGAGTTTGTTGAGCACCAGGGCAAAATCTGTGCACACACTAACCACTACACCATAGCTCTGACTAATTTAATTTTTGTATTAGTTTGTGCTTGTTATATATATATCTCAGATGAAAGAAGGGCAGAGAGAGAGAGAAATTCAGAGGAAAATTTCAAAGGAAAGAGCAGAGGAGAGGGACCTGCTGGGACGTAGTCTTCTAAAAGGCCCTTTATTTGTACATACTGTACCTGCTGAGAGTATCCACAGAAAAACTGGTACAGGAACTGCGGTAAGATGAAGCAAAGATTCTGCAGGAGAGGATAAGAAAACGTCTAAAACTTCAAAAGGATTTACTAAAACAACTACATTTATATTTACAGACTGAAACACGGTCCACTGAATGCCTAACATACCTTATAAAAGAAGTACTGGACGAGATGCGCAATGCGCACATAGTAGAGATGCCCATGAGCTAGCAAAAGCTTCTTTAAGTGCTTGAGTTTAGGAATGGCGTAGTCACTGTTCCTCACAGCTTGACGGCCCTCCTTACCTTTAATACCTGAACACACAATACCAACGTCAACACTCCATCGTGGAAAAAATGCTGAGCAAGATATGTTCACCTTAATCATCAAAAATAGAGTAAAAACAGTAATATTGTGAAATATTACAATTTTAAACAACTGTTTTCTATTTTAATATATTTTAAAATGTAATTTATTCCTGTGATGCAAAGCTGAATGTTCAGCATCATTATTATGATTATTAGATATACAGAAATTTCAAAAGAACAGCATTTATTTGACATTTTTTGTAATATTATAAATGTCTTTACTATTACTTTTGATCAATTTAATGTGTCCTTGCTGAATAAAAGTATCAATTTCATTAAAAAAATCTTGACCACAAACTTTAATAGTAATAATAGTAATAGTTTTAATAGTAGTGTACATGATATATGACGAGGTTTTACCAATGCCCACGTGTGCCTCAAGGATCATGCTAACATCATTTGCCCCGTCGCCAATAGAGAGAGTGATTGGGGAACCTTTGGAGTTCTTCACCATCTTCACTATCTAAATTGGATAAAAGAGAATTTTAGCCAACTAACTGATAAAGTATAAGTGCATGTTATTATAGGCACCATAAAGAGCCGCCAAAGTGCCGGTCTGCAGGCGTGACCTGAGCTTTCTGCAGGGGGGCCATGCGGCAGCAGAGCACAGCAGTGCAGTTCTGGCAGATCTGCAGAAAGAGGCTCTTGTACTGACTGGCATCCGCATCACGCAGTGGGTTCATCACTAATGACAACGTCGCCCCATCTATGATGAAGCCGTAATCCTGATTTGCAGTAGACCAGCTCCTGTAGGACATAAATGACACTAAATTAGAGGTCATTAAATATACTGCACAACTGTACCCGAGATGTACCGATATTACAATTCTGGCCAATACGATAAACCGACACTTATTTTCATGTTACAACCGATAACTGATAAATGGTTGATATTAAAACTATACAATTTTGCCTAAATAAATGAAAAATAAAACACTAAAAATTAAAATCTACAAGTAAATTAATACATGACTTTTATATAGGAGTATAAAAATAACAATTAAAAAATATAATTTAAAGTATAAAAATTGATATTGATTTTGAGATCAAAAGATTTGCTAAAGATTACAATAAATAGTAATTAAAGTATTAATTATTTAATTAGTTATTACATTTGTTTTTTAAGATTAACTTAGAACGTTAGGTGATGCAAAGTTAATTTAAAATGTAAAAAAGGGGAAATAAGCATAAACAATTAAAAATTCAATATTGACAAATATTTAATTTCAGCTAATACTGATAAATGAAGAGGAAGAAGAAGAAGAAGTCTGTGTAGTCTTATTATATTTCTAAACTGTTCCAAACATTTACTACAAAGCCAGTAGGTCAAGGGTCTGACCTGGTGACCCCAGCTTTGACAGGCGGGGCGTCCTGCACTGCTTTTCTATGGTACTCCTGTAGCAACTCATAAAGTTTCTCATCACGCTTTAACCTCGCATCCTCCAGTGTCCGCACAGTCAGTTCCAGTAGCTCTGTACCCCGCTGGAACAGACGACAGGCATAGCAGGTAGACTTGGCCGTCTCCATTTTGTCCCCCGTCAGCACCCAAACCTTCATCCCAGCGCCCTGTAAGGCCTCCATTGTCTCTGCTGCCTCCTCCTGAAGTCTGGTACACACGATGTTAAGTTATTCAGAATATTCCTCTGAGAAAACAACATGGCGTAAATGCCAATTTGGGTTACCAACCGGTCCTCCACAGCGGTCGCTCCAATCAAACTCATGCCCGTCTCCACCTGGTTATACATAGCCATGAGTTTCTCCTCTCTATCCTGGAGAGCCAGTCTAGCCTCCCTCAGCCCAGTGTCTGCCATAGCATATTCCTCAGCACTCAGCTGCTTATAGGCCACACACAGTGTACGGTAACCCTCCTGGTGAGCGGAAACATGCGATTAGGCCAGAATTTACTGACCTTTTCAATATTTAATGTCTCTACAGGACATCTCCTCTCAACACAGAGATATAATGAATGAGGTTTATGCTTTATTCCAGTCTAGAAGTCAAAATGGTCATATCATCCTTTGAAACGCTGCAAGACCTTATCATGCTGAAATCTATTGTAGTACCGTTGCATTTCGCTCAACATGCATGCGAATCCTGTCCACCTCCTCTGGTCTGACTCTTGGGAAGATGGAAGAATCAGCTCCCTTACAGAAAAGCAACGTCTCCCCTACATAAACAGTAGTGGAGGTGAGAGACATTCAGAGTCATCATCTGCAGAACACACAACCTCAATGCAAAGATGCTCAGGCGGGTTGCTAAGTGGCTGCTGTGTTCTCAGTGGTTACTGACTGTTAGTATAAATTATTCAATTTTTTACTTGGCAACCATTCATTCTGAAGTGAAAAACATGTAGCATTTTAACCAAGAGACATGACCAAAAACAAAAATACAAAATATTATTGTGTCAAAATGAAATAAATTCAAATAAGAATTTAAAAAAAATCGAATCTGTACTTGGGTCCCTGCTTCAATGCAAACCTATGACATTTTCATCACTTTATCCACCAGGTCTCATGCTAAAAAGGTCATCCCTCCTCACATGGTTTGTGTTGTGATTCATGTCACCAGGAGAAATGATGCACGTGTTATTTGTATATTCAAATCTATAACCCTAAGTATGAGCAATAGCAAAAGCCATAGCAAGCACCACTAATGATCTCCAGCTCACCTGATTTGGTCTGCACAATGACGCTCATTCTCCGCCTAACTGGGTCAAAGTTTAGGACATGGAGCAGCTTGTACCTGAAAAGTTAGATAAATCTTATGTATAACCTTAACTGCCATACAACTAATTTTATATAACTTAAAAGCATCTAGGGGTGCAAGTAATAATGCAGCATATTAGCAATATCACTGTTCAACAAGTCTCTAATTTCAAGGGTCATAACTCACTCCTCTATATCATTTTGCCTGTTCTTTATCTTCATGCTCTTGCTCTCCAGACCAAGGAAGGTGAAGCCGTATCTGAACAGGAGAGAAGTTATGCCAGTAAGTGACAGCAAGGGTTATTATCAGACCAAAAAAAGAAACATATCATTATCTTACTTCATGGCTCCTTTCACCAGTGCGATCTCATCAGGAGAGGATGCGATGAAGCCTCTTTCCTCCTCCGGCTGGGGCAGCAGCAACCCATCAATCCCATCAACTTGGTCCGCGAGTACTTCCGATCCAGCCTCCTTCACCTGCACCGTGTGACACAGACACAAGGCCCGCAGGAACAACTCCTCTTTCTCCTGATAGATAGAAATAAAGAGGCATACAAAATGACACATGCTAGTATGCACACATCCATATTTGTGAGAATGACTGTTGTTTATCGAAAAAAAAAAAATGAAATAAAATAAAATAAAAATATTAGATGAAAACTATTAAACTAAATGAAAATTAGAAATGTTTTGCAACTTAAATTTCAAATTTTTTTTAGGATGAAATACTTAAATTACTAAAACTAAAATAACAAAAAATAAATAATAAATATAAATATAAAATGAAAATGACAAAAACAACAAAATTGCTCACTTTAAAATTGAAATGACAACTTAAATATAATAAAAACTTATTCAAAATTTTAATAAAGACTATAATAGTATAAAAAATAAATACAATTTAAAAATAAAAAAAATAAAAAATGTAACTTTAAATGAAGCTCAATTGAGAAATACTTGAAGATTACACCATTGTTTTAATTCAATTTGTTAATATTTATAATGTAATAACATTATATCATTTATTATAATATAATTACGGTATATATTTATAATATAATATCTTTTTTATATAAAGGTAGTTAGTACAATACCATATTTGTTTATCAAATCTGGTAGATATCAGTGAAATTTCGCTGGTATTAGTATTGATTACTAACATTTTGGTATTATGACAACCCTAGTATACAGATAATGTGCACTACACAGTGACAAGGGCCCTCACAAAAGAAGTGCTCTCAAAGGACTGCCCGTTTATGATGAATATGACTGTGTTAAAAAAAAGGAGTTAATACCCATAACTTTAGTCTTTCATAGCCTGCCAACACAAACATTAGAAGTTTACTGCCTTTGTGTTTACATCGCAGCCTCAGAGGATTTATAATTCAAGAGGTCTGCAGTCAGTTTACATATTGAGGTGTACACATCCAACAACACAATCCGTAAATGTAAAATCAATCCCATCTGAGGTCCTAGGGGTCTCAGAATGAGTGTAACTCACCCATCCAGCCTTCTGCTGCAGTTTATTCACAGGCCCGTCCGTCACAGTGAAACCGTCCAGCTCGCTCTGGGTGTCTCTGTATCTGTACTGGAAGCCATCTATACAGCATTCGATGAACTCCATGTTGTTCTGGGTCAGCGTGCCAGTCTTGTCTGTAAACACATATTCCACCTGCAGGGCGCAGACAAATGTTGACCTTAACGACTATAATCCCAGGTAATAAAGCACGTTCCCAAATTAACAGAGTCCGACGATAAGGACGGACTATTAATTTGCGACAAAACCAGTTAGCTTGCATAAATCAGTTTAACGAAGCATGGCCTGTAATTTAGAGTAATCATCTGCATAACCAGCCAAGGGTGATCTATGACCTCACTGCCCATGGAAGAGCCAGGGACAGCTCAGCTTATGTTCATGTCATGGTTGACTTCTGAAATCATTTGACCATTCGGAATGAAACACATTTTATTCTACATATGAATACAAACAGCTAAAGAGTCATATTTGAGCTGAGGTTTGAACAAATGGCTCTTTTCCACTGCATGATACGGCTCGTTACGGCTCAGTACAGCTCACTTTTTGGGGGTTTTCCATTGTGTACAGTACCCTAGTACCTGGTACTTTTTTAGTACCACCTCGGTTGAGGTTCCAAGCGAGCCGTACTGATACTAAAATGTGACTTGTAAACGCTGCAGATCACTAATTGGTCAGAGAATCGTCACTACCAGCGTCATTGGATTTGCGACACGAGACACCAAACCCGCTAGAAAAAAAAATAGTCAGCAACAGCCACCACAGTATTATTTGTTCGCACAACTTTTTTAAACGACCGTTGCATGCATTCTTGAAAAAAGAAATGGCTGTATAGTGGTCAGTAGATGAGGTGCAGACGTTCCTCTCGTTGGTAGCCGAGGAGCAGATCCAGCAAGAGCTCTTGTGTTGAGTGAGAGCTTCGTTTGTTTGTGTCGCGTTTACGATAATGTCACAGCAGTAGAGGCGGCGCAACTATAACGATAAGTCTATAATCCCACCCACTTTTGAAACGGTACTAAACTGCAGTGGAAAAGCAAACCAAGCCAAAGTAAAGCGAGCCGAGCCGAGTCGTGCCGGGCCTAGTCGTACCACGCAGTGGAGAAGCGCCAAAAGTGTCTAACCTGGCCAAGTTCCTCATTGAGGTCTGAAGTGTTGACAAGCGCGCCTTCTTGGATCTCCGGGTCAAAGAAGTCTTTATCCCAAGTGATAAAGAAAGAGCCCAGGAATTTCTGCATCTCCACAGTTACATACATGGACACGGGGATTATAAAGTTGAAGAGGACCATGAAGGAGAGGAAGTCTGTAAACATCTTCAAATACTGAAACAAAGACAGAACACCTGCATTCAGTCTCTTCAAAGACACAATATCATGGCTGCAACAGCAAAGAAACAGAGGTTAAGCATAAACCTAATCCCTAATTATGATTTATTAAGTGTGATCTGTGTAAGAGCTGACCACAGCCACCGGAGACCAGATTAACTCATAATTTATATTAATTGCATTAAGAATGACTGATGATATAGAGGGAGTTGCTAATTGATTCATGTAATCATGTTTGAATCGGTCAGATGTGAAATCCACAGACTACTCACCATATTAGAGTCTTTCTCCTTCTGGGTTTTCTGGTTGTACCAGGGCTCATCCTGACCTTCTTTGCTCTGCCATACATACTTTAGTGTAGTACACACAACAGCTTTACTGATGAGGATACATAGATACACCAACAGAAAGGCATTGATGGATCTGCAAAGGAGAGAAAACATACACGTGATCATATACACTTAATCATGTTAAGTACATATAAAACCATATAAACACACCAAAATAAGAAAACTTTAAGTACACAACAACACTAAAGTTTATATGATTCACTTATTATTATTATTGTTACACTTTATTTTTATTTTAATAATTATTTTACTATTTAATTTTTTTTGTATTATGTATAGTTTGTCAATATTATTATAGGGGATAAATAAATAAATAAATAAATAATACCTCCACATAAAGATAATTATTATAGATTATTATATATTAGTTATATGAACTTTGGTAGACATTAATCATTTAATTGAATTGTGATTAATAACATCTTGATTTATTCGATTTGATATTAATTCAGGAATATTAATGTGGAGATACAATAATTTTACATCCACCAAAAAACAGATCAATCTTGTTATTTGCAATCAATATCGGATCGTTCAAATGAACGTTGCTACTAATCCAAAAATCAATATTTCAACCTGATTGCACACTAGGGTATATTGCGGCTCTCGTCACTGGCTTACTTTTCAACAGCTGATCGTTTCTGAGATTTGCCCTGGTAGTTGAGTGCCATCTTCGTCTCCATGCCTGTGTATACTGCGACACCTTTAAAAGGAAAAGCAATTTAGAGTGATTCAGGTGAATATAATTCCTCGCCATCAAAAACTTCCTCTAATTAAAAGGTGTCACGGCCTACCATAAATCTTCTTGGTGTTTTTCAATGTAGCACCTTTTAGAAGAAGGTTCTCTGGGCCTAAAGATCTACATTAAACCATAAAAACAAACAATTATGTCAATAAAGACACATCCTGGCATCCAAACCCACATTAAAGTGGCTCCTAATGAGCAGCATTGCTGGGAATATGTAGGCCGGTTTGGCCTGGCCCGCTCTCGTGAAGGACACGGTGTAGAACCTCAGAAAAAACATTTCAAACAGCCCAGTGACAAATGGAAGAGTGTGCAGGGCTTGAGAAGCTGCCAGGCCGGCTTTACTTTAATGCTGCTATGGCATTACGGGTCGATGGAATAATGATCAGAGGCTAATGCAATGGGAAAAGACAGAGCTGAAGTGACTAGGAGGTACCGTGGGATATAGTGGGCCCATGGGAATGGACCAAAGACGGTCTCACCTTACTGCTGGCTCCTGCTCCAGCTTGTAAATGTGCATTCGACCCACAAACCTGCAATAGAGCAAACAAGCCCCAGTCAAGCATGTACACGCTCATATATGTTTTCTCAACCACAAACCCATACGGAAAAAAAGGTCGAATGAATGCACAGACGTCCCATGAATGTAATCAGAGTACTTGATGAGGTCAACCTGAAAACATTCAGCAGAGGCAACGAACTGATGCACATGCATTAGTGTTTCATTCATTTTATAGAGACTCCTTCCCCATTAAAGAGGCTTGATGATAATATCTGTATTCCAGTACAGTACTCTATGTAAATGAGCCTTGTACGAAATGAACCAATTACAAGGAAGATGCTCATTGGTGATGACCCAACAGTCTGGCATATTGGCAAAAGCCCTTTGAAGCTTTTTCTTTTTTATAGACTGAATTATAGCAGGCAACATCTGGTGCTCTAGAAATCAGAAATGCAAATGTTCTTCTGCCTAAAGAGGCTTTAACGAGATGTGCTTAGCAATAGGGGGCGCTGGTGAGTTAAACGGCTATTACAGTTGGAGTCCATCTCTCTCTAAACTTGCAAATTGTGTTTGTTTCAAGGTCTGTTTGTTCTTATACTACAACAGAAAAGGCAGATTGTGTCTGACTTTTCCATGGAATCACACCATTAGCTAGGGCTGTCGCGATAACCTCAATATCGCAATACCGCGCTATTAACGAGCAAACCGCAGAGGAATGCAAGAACCGCAGCAACCGCGATTTTTGCGTGTTTTCTTTTTTCGTAAGGTTATGCCCTTCTCGTTTTACACTTCATGCATGTGGACTGAATATTAAACAAGTTAGTAATGATAACATAATGTGTACCATGCTGATTTGTACAGAGGCTCCGTAGATTTGCACTTAACAAGCCTAAACAGACAGTGAATGAGAGAAAGATCGAATGAGCGCGTGCGATTACTTGCGTCTGTAAAATGATTTCAACAGCGTGTTTCATTACGTCTCTTTGAATGAATGAATCAGCGTTTTTGAACGTGTAATTGAATGACAGTCCCTTTCCACCACCTTGTGGCGCAACATTGTAACTGCACTGACTGACAGTCCGTCTAGAATGCGCGCAGGTGGAAATATCAATAGAAAGTCTCTTGATAACGCGCTATTGAGCCACCCAAAATTGCCACAAGGGAAATTCCCTCACCGCAACAGCCCTACCATTAGGCTGCTGATCCGAAATCAAACAACCTACAGAGACGAGATCAACGGAGCTGAAACTGGACTCAACATATTCAAGAACGATCGCAGTGCCTCTCGTTTCATCATGAGGCAGCGAAAGGGATTTCGGATAAGTGTGTGTTTGTGTTAGAGGAGTTTGTACTTGTAGAGGTCAGGCTGGGGTTGTTCACACTCAATGGTGGCAGTAAGAGCCTGCAGGTCCTTCTCAGTGTCTGGCACCGTGTAGTGTGTCTGCAGGAAAGACAGGCAAATTAGTATTCCAGGTCATGTTGTACACACAAATACAGATGGGTGGAAGTGGGAGAAAGATGAGGAACAGAAGGATGATTATGACAAGATCTGGGCCACCTATTTAAAGAGTTTGGCTAAAGGAGAGTAAAAGAATGATATATGAATCCATATCTCATATTCTGTTTATACTTGAACAGAAATCACACCAGATGATTCTTATTTAAAAGTGCAAGGAAAGCAAAGATGATAGTATAACATCTATATTATATCAAGAACATTATATTTGTGGTTACAAACAGAAAGACAGCAGAAATTATATAAGATTGAGTGAGAGGTGCATAAGCTCACTTTGTGGTTGGATTCTCCATCCAAGCTGGCTGTGGTGACAAAACAAGTGCCGTCTTCTCGACTGGACTGCAACAGAATCAGGTCACAGGGAAAGGTCTCGTCCTCCACCACTTCAACCACATCACCCACCTGACCAGAAACACATTGATATTAACACACGACTCCGTCTTACACACGACCATAGATCAGTGCTTCTCAATTGCTGGGTCGCAGGTCTATTCAGATTCAAAATACAGTGCTAAGTGCAAAAATGTTAATATAAATATATAATTTTTAAGGTAAATATAATGAAAAAACTAAAAAAGAAGAAGTTACATCCACATGAGTCTCTTGTTTTCAACAACTTCTGTTTTTACAAAATTGGCACTTTTTTCTTTAAATTGTCATATTAAGTTAATAATGAGCCTATGTAGTTATTGGTAATATTAATTAAAATTGAATTTTTTGATTATAAAAGACATCGACATACAAATAACAATTTTGGGATCATGTTGGATCACCACTTGATGATTAATCTGGGGCTGCAGACTATACGTAATATTAGTGATATTTTAAAATACTATTTTAATGAATATTTCTGATCTTGACGTGTAAGAGAGTCTTAATATGTGAGAGTGTTTGGGTATGCGATCGTTAACTGTAATAACATCTACTGTAATATAAGGGAATATACAGTGAAAATACATGCTCATCAAAGCTGCATTCATTTGATCAAAAATACAGTAAAAACAGTAATATTGTGAAATATTACAATTTAAAATAACTTTTGAAAAAATATTTTAAAATGTAATTCCTGTGATGGCAAAGCTAAATGTTCAGCATCATCTCCAGTCTTCAGTGTCACATGATCCTTCAGAAATCACTCTAACATGCTGATTTGCTGCTCAATAAACATTTTTTTTAAATTATTATCATCAATGTTTAAAGCAGGTGTGCTGCTTAATATTTTTTGTGGAAAGAGTGATACATTTTTTCAGGATTCTTTAATAAATAGAAAGTTCAAGGGAACAGCATTTATTTAAAATTTAAATTTTTAATCAGATTAATCACACCCTTTTTCTGTGATTAATTGCGATTAATCGCACACTTCATGAAATTACCTTACATTTTAGAGAAGTCAAGTTGCATAACCGAACAGGACCACATGGAGATGCCAAAAAATCCCTAAACCAACCGGCTGCTGGCTGCATATATCTACTACAGTACACAGATCCATTCCGTATAACTAAACACAGCAACATAAACATGACAAATCAAAACATTATCGCGAAT